AGCTCTCTTCTCCAGTGCGCATGCGCGGCTATCTCTAGCACGGTGCGTGGCTCGAGCTTGTCTGCTGACCTCGCAGTGACTCCTTCTCTTTCATTATTTATGAGGCCTGGCCCAGCCGCTCACCCCTATCAGTGTCCAAACGTGTGCTTGACGTATCGGTCCTCGAGCGCGCGACCTGTGATGCCATAATAACCTGAGCTAAATCAAAGAGCCGCCGCCATCCAGAGATTATGAGGAGATAAAGCTCCACTGCAGCGCGCGTGAGCAAATCAGAGAATCAGAACAAAACAGAGAAAAAACCTGAACCGTGTACGAGCTTCTGCCTACCATTCAAATTTCACACACACCTTGACAAACCCACAAGCACGCGCAAACACGCACCTTTAGCAAGAACGGAGTACCGCCACTCCTCATCACCGACACGAGCTCGGTCTGGCACGTTCAAAGGAGCGGCAAGCCCGTGCACGTACAGGCTCTGCACACTGGTCCTGCCCTGAGTACATACTCACACACACAAAGGAACACGCACGCGCACAGCAAACACAAAGCAGCTCTAAGCTGCCTTGTCAGTCCTGCTCCGTGTGGAGGCCCCACTGAAGTGCGTGCGTGTGTGTGTGGGTGGGGGGGGGGGAGTGGGGGACACCTTTTTATATCATTCAAAGCAGGAAGTTGATGAATATGAAATTGGAGGGATTTATATTTTTTGCGTTTTTTTTTTTTTTTTTTTTTTTTTTTTTTTTCCTGTTTACTGGTCAGAAACTTCCTGAAGGAGCCGGATGTACCACAATGGCGCGCACATGTCTGTGGGTGCTCGGGCCTGATGTGGACAGCAAGTAGCTTCACACTAGCAAAAAATAAACAAAAGTATAAAATATGGTTTTATTACATTATTATCCATGTTTTGATTTACTGAAACTTAAAATATTTGTTCATGAAAGCAAAATAAATAAATAAATAATAAAATAATAAACACAATAATAATAATAACTAATAAATAAAAAAATATTTTTACAGTGTCACTGATTTAATGTGTCATGCAAAAAGTTATAGTTATACCCCACAACAGACACACACGCACGCAGTTAATATTTTATGTATTTTTATGTGCTGGACAATATATATCTAATGGACCCTGTAAAAACAAAATAAACCCCTATGTTCATAAAACATGTCGTCAGCTGTTCTTATTCAATCAAAAGGTTTTTTTTAATCATTAATGTGTTTTTCTGCAAAATGCTGCAGTTAGTTTTTACCTATTATTCATATTATTAATGTTAATTCGATCATATTAACTTTCTAATTTAATCAGTAAATAGTGCTATTTTGTGGCCTGCTTAATATAAAATTTAAAAAGTAAACAAAACGTTTATGTTAGCAGGAAAACGGTCTTATTCAGTTTTTCTACTTCCAGATCATTTCTGGGCTAATTCAGCTCTGATTGTACTTTTTAAATTAAATTAAATTTAAATTTATTTACTTGTCACGTAAACACTTTCTGTTGTTTATTTTTCTGACAAGAGTCATATTTACCGAAGCACCAGAGGAAATATTTATTTTCAATCTTTAATTCTGTAAATGTTTTTTTTTTTTTTAATTTTTTTTTTTTTTGTCACAGTCATTAAAATGTGGCGTATTTCTTAATAAAAACATTTTGATCATTTTCTTCTCCTCAGCAATTTTTAACATCTTAATAAGGCAACGTTTTTAAAGCACGTTATCTAAGTCTGCCTCAAAACATGACAGAAGTGTGTGCCACATGGAAGACAGTAACAAGACCGATCAGTAAACAAACAAACAAACAACATGGATGCGTCGTTTTTTCCCACCTCGAAAACACAAGGGTTGAGACAGACAAAGACTTTCTTGCATGCATGGACTCGTTTCACTGAACCGTACACGTCACGTGCGCGTACACGCGCCCTTACATTGTTTCTCAACTAACCTTTACTGCTCCTAATCGTGACAGAAAGCATGTGACAGCTGGATTTAAAACGTCTGGATTAGTTTGTTTCTAACTTCTTCTATAACAAGAGAAAACACGTCTCTGTTTTTCATGCTTTAAAACAGAAGAAGAAGAAGAAACATGAACGCGCCAGACTCTTGTTCGTTAGAGTAACATGCACAGACAGAACTCTGTGTCTGCGCCATTTGCATTAAACGACACGCGTGTTTTATGGGGAAACATGTAACGAGCTTCACACAGAGAAGCTGCTGCTGTCGCTCCATGCGCGCGCGACCGCTGCCGGGCCCCGCTGCTCCACTAGAACACACGGACACTGGTGGCGCGCACCGTGCGCTTTACCACAGAAGCCCTGGACCAGGTGAATGAGTGACATGGTAATTACCACCCACCCCCTCCTACACACACACTCTCCACTTATTCCGTCTATGTACTTAGCTCCACTTACACGCGGCCCTCATGCTCCACTTACTGCGCGTCCCGGCTCCTCCGCGCGCGCCTTCTCCAGAGTCCAGAGCGGAGGTCTCCGGGCTCCAAGTATGAACCCGAGCAGGAACAGCTGCCCGTAGTAGTGGCCTCATTTCTCTCCCTTCCTCTCTCTCACACACATGCGCGCGCGCGGATACACAAACGGCCTCGCATGCTCTGTCTCTACTTTACTGACCCCTTTAGGATTTTCACAAGACCGTTAAACCGTCATTTGCTTTCTAGAATGTGAAATATATAGTACACTGTCAACTCCCCTAAACCATAAAACTAACTTTATGGACCCCACGTGACTGAGTGGGAACCAGTGAGAGGGATCAGTCTGAGCTGGGCCTGATCTTTACGATCCAACTTGGAGATAAAACCTCTCAACGGTTTGACATGTAAATGTCAAATCTGCCTCCGTTTTTATAGTTCGGGCCCAAAGCAGAAAAATACCAGTTCACACAAAGAAGAACCAGGAGACAGGGCCAGGATGGGTCTCCCAACTTTTCCACGCAGACAAACTGCAGCACTTTGACATCGGTGAGTTCCACAGTTAATTTTGTGTTCAGAAATCAGGCGAGGGTAACTCATCTGCCGGAAGTCGCCATCGTTCGTTCAGGGCGGAAAAGAGCGAAATAATACGAGGCTTGTGGTTCGATGTCATCACAGTGGTGCCCTGCAGAACCACAGACCCGCCGAGTTCTGAATATTTCTAATTAATTTTAAACTGGCGAGCCATGAGCGTGAAAATTGTTTTTGTTCAGGCCATTTCTAATTTTAACATGTGGAGCTTGACGCACAAGAAAACGATAATATACAGACTATATACATACACACACACACACACACACACACACACACACACACACACACACACACACATATA